AAAGACTGCTCTAGACAAATTAAAAAATTGTTCAGTAGCACCTTAGAGACCAACCAAGTTTGTTCTGGGTATAAGCTTTCGTGTGCATGCACACTTCTTCAAGAAGGAGGTAAATACACCTAGAATTCACAACTTGGTCCCATGCTTGTTTATTCAGCGGTCATGGGGTTAACTTCCATAATGTGTATATGACACACACTAGGCCTGTGATTCTGTACATGCTTACTTTTGAGTCAACAAGTTATAGTGCAGGATGAATCCATATAAAAAGGTGAACATATTTTAGGAAACAGTGAATTTTTAGCTTCAATGATTTCAGCACAGAAATAATTAATGGGAAATTTCGCCTTCCTTACTCAAGGAATGCAAAAGCACAATCCATCTGCACTTTTCTGTACATTATATTGGAATGGAAGGAAAATAAAATTACTGCAGGTATAATAAAAATAGAGGTGCAAATCAGGAGTAATTTTATTGAAGTGAAAACACACAACTGAAAAGAGAAGCAAAAATATATTTTGTTCTAGATCCTATAGGGTTTGATGAGAGTGGAGAAGGGATATGTGCAAATGTGCTTTTAGCTTTAAATGATAATGAAAAGATAACCAAAACAGAATGAAACCATTTTGTTATATTACAGTTTCCTAGAAACGTAATTAATTCAAGTGAGATGATAGAGATGTTATGAATAAAAGATTGATCAAAGGGTGATAAAGAAGCTTTTTTCTCCTTTTATTTTTTCCCATTTAATAAGGCGGCTCAGATAATTTAGCACTTACAACAGATAATCACTAGCAAAATAAACTATTTCCTTCCGAACGATAGCCATGTTACTGAATACACACCTGACTCATCCACAACAGGTAGTGCTGATATCCTTCTATCTACAAATATATTCAATGCTTTAATGATAGGAGTGTCTGGGTGTATAAAGGCGATGTTGTCATATGTTCCTATCCCAAGTTCATCCAGATTTTGCTTCATAAAGGCAGGCTTTGGCATTTCTGACACCTAGAAGAATTAAAAAAGTACTTGTTTGACAGGCATATTTTACCATTTTTAAGCTACACAGCTCACACAGTTTTAAAAATTACCACGCAAGGAATTTCCTTATCAGGTCTTTCAACTGGTAACATATTTTAGTAGCCTAGTAAGCTTAATATTAGTGGGCAAAGTTAGAATGAAGCTAATACTGTCTTTGAAGTTGAACTCTATTCTGGCATTCTGTCCCACGTTTCTTGCCCATATAGGGATGCCCTGAACTGGGAAAACACAATAAATATCCAATATACAGTAACACGTTCACAGCTTTTATAATTGCAGCATGGATTGCAGTGGCACAAGTGTCCTTGGTGTTTTGAAGATGTAGCTTATGAATGAAACAGCACAGTTATCATTCAAAGCTTGCTGCTTCCTTATCCAAGCTTCACAATGCAATTATTAATGCCTTATCTAAGGTTGAATGCTAGAACTTCTGAGTGTCGTATAACCCAGGCATCATTTGGACATGCTTCTGCAGCTGTGACATTTAGCACACTGAATTTTGCAGGAGAGTTATGAAAGGGATAGCATGTCTAAGGAGTTTTACTAGCATATCTTTTTATTGTACTGATTACAGTCAAGTGGAACCTCCAAGAATGTTGCAGTGTATCCTCGCCTCTTAGTAGGAATGCTCCTGGACAGGTTTTCAGCCAGCCAATCATGACCCTGTCCATTCTACATTTCTATTTTCCAACAATCAATCAATATTCTGTGCTTATTGAGCATGCTCAGTCCTCACTGGGCTGTTTTGTGGTTTGTTTTTCAAAATGTTCTACTTCTGCAAACCTCAGAGTTCCTCTGAGCATGTCAATACCTCTTTCCTTTATCAGTGCCCCAGTTTGGCTCCAATCCTGTCTCTGAACTCAGTGGTGAGCCCTATTATGAGAATGCAAAGTTTGCATTTTTAGATTTTAGATTTTTACGATGAAGGTTTCTTGGCAGTAAACACTATAAAGTTGCTGCCATCTGAATACTCTGTAAACGCTATTTGCATGACCCATCTCAATACAAGAAATTTTGTCACAGGAAAAGTGAGACAACAAAAACCATCCATGTGGTCATTTGATAATTCTCAACTATAATCTCATTATACTCCTAAACTTTATAAAAACCTAGGAAAATCAACTACAGTTTCAAGTGACTGAACTAGGCCAGATGACTGCAAATGAGGCAGGCCAAGCCTTGAATTTGCACCCACTCCTCCTCTATGAACAAGAAATGAGAGTGGAAGCTTGCACTTTTGACTAAAATAAAAACTTAAGGAACTGTTCCTTATTCAAACTCCAGTAGGATAAAAGAATCCAGGATCTTGTTAGAATAGACTAAGGTTACAAGTTTTTACGTAACAGGAAACGGTGCTTTAGTCTGCAGTGAAAGCAGAAGCTTTGATTTTCCTCTCGCACATGCAAACCGGGTGATGAAGTGTCACCTGCAAAAGTGACTGGATTATTTAAGAGTCTTTTTTGAGACTGCTTGATTGCACAGGTTCAATTAAAATACTTCCTGCATAGTTATTATGGATGGAAACACTTTTATCACTGGAGTGCAGAGTAAAGGCCTGCTACCAACTGCATGAAGAGAGACAACGGGAACATACCTATTATTTCTCTTCCAGTGTAAGTGTAGAGTATTCAAAGGGAATGGATCATATCAGTACAGTTGTTTATAAAGACTTTACTAATGTAACAGTGAGCTTTGTCTGTTCCAACATCAAGCAGTAATAGGAATTTATTATTTTACTTACAAAAAGCTGGAGAAACTTGAGGATTCTTTTATGGGTAAGTATATAAAGTGCATTTCCGCTCACTGGGTCAATAACTGGCAATCTGTGGATTCTGTTTTTGATCAGTGAATACACAGCATCAAAAAGGCTGAAGAGAAAGTTATTGCAGCTGTTAGTATACTCTTACTGTGATATCCGAAGACAGCTTTGATGATTCCCCCAAAGCTACACTCTACCAACTAAGTGATTTTTAGTAAATAATGTTGGAGGAAGTTGTGAAAACTGAGTTAAAGGACAGATGATTTCATTACATCATTGTTAAAGTAGGTATAGTACAGTTTAACATCAATATTATATCAGATCCTGTAAGCCAAACAGGAAAATGCTTTGTGATGGGGTGGGGAAAGAGAATGTTTTACTTATAAGGACCTGAAGATTACTAAGATTCAAATGCAAAATAAAATAGAGAACAATAACAGTAATAAACACAACAGCTTTCTCACTAAATGTCCTTGTGCTGGCTCTGAAGGGTTACACAGAATGGATGGTTAATTATGGCATTAACAAGCTTCACTTATATAGTAATATACTAATACTACATACAGAAATACATGTAACTGGAAGCAGGAGTGGAAAGGAAGAAAACTTATGCCATATCCTCAGTATTTCTTGTGTAATCATGACCCCCCCCCAAAAAAAATCAGATTCAAAACCCCCAAAGATTCTAAGATAAGCCATAAAGGTTCCTATCACCAATTTAGAAACTTAATTGAAGTTAGAAACTTAGAAACACCAATTGCTAACATGCACTATCTGTCTTAGTTGTCCCTTGCAGCTGTGTGATGGATGTATTAGCACAATTTACATTTTCAGAAATCAAAAGTAGAAAAGCATCTTACCTGGCGTCTGGTGAAATGTTCACTAAAGGCTTAAAGGTTTCTTGTAAATAAAGCTCTGTATAATTAAAAACAAAACCAATGCTTCATAAATTAATAATAAAAAATAGTATTTCATGAAATATCCACACACACTCTTAGCAGTGAACCCGGCATATGAAAGTGAGGACAATCAATGATTTACTAAATTAAAGAATGGCAGTGGTTCATAAGAGCAATCACTAGAGGTCACTATAATACTATATTAATACACATGAATACCATAAAAGAGTATACAGCAAAGGCTGAGCAGAGGGTATTTTAAAGAAGTGTTTCAGATTACTAATGTAAGTGCTTTTTGTTTTTAAGGCGCCACTGTCTTCTCAGGCACCTGCAGCAATAAATGAACTTCCAACTTTTTCTGCAACACATAGCATGTCCTGAAGACACATCTTCAAGATGAATATTTTTTGAAAGATCTTCAATTTTTTATCTAACCATCGTTTCCTGAGGAGTGACTTGGTAAGGCGGAAAGAGGCAAAGGGAGGCAATTTATATTTATGAAAATATAAATACAAAAAGCCATTATTACCCATATTTAAATCAAAACATGCAGCATGTAATAATTAAAATTTACACCACCAGTCAGAAATATATAACGCATACAGGTGAATATTACTGTGATATTTCATCTTCCAGTGATTGTTAAAAAAACACTTTTCAATAAACTTGCCTGGTGAGCATCCTCTCTTACAACATGAAAGTTTTGTAAGAAATAACACATTCACTCGTTTGAAGGTGATAATAAAGAGTTTCATGGGGATTTCCAAGATAACTTTTATCATGTAAACTATTCACTGTTTTAAAATCCTCCAGCAATAGATGATCCTTCAAATATCCCAAAAGCAATATTTTAGGATTCAACAAATCATATCCAATAATCTCTTTTACTACTTCCATTACTCTTGCCAAAATGAGGACTTGAGCTTTTCCAAAATACCTACATTAATTTTGTCTCTAAAGCTTTACACCTCCAACTCCTACCTTCCTGTAATATTATCCTTCCTGCAAAGAAAGGCCTTACTTTGAGCTAATCCCTTTAGAATTTTACAGAATACAGACTACAACAGACTCGAGCTTTTCCCAAGATATGAGCAATTAGGATGGATTCCAGCACTCACACTTGTGTTGGAATCTCTTCCACATCCCATGGCAGAGCCCAAGTATATCTGGGTTCTCAGGCTAAGGGAACATAGGAAACTATTCCTGAGTCAGACCATTAGTCTATGTAACTCAATATTGTCTACACTCACTGGCAGCGGTTCTCCAGGGTTTCAGGCAAGATGTCTCCTGGCCCAAGCTGCAGATGCTGGGAATTTAACCTGAGATCTTCTGCATGCAGAGCTGATGTTCTACCACTGAACTATATAGTCTTTCCCGTATTAAGGACAACACATAGTATAGTACTGTATAACAGGTTGTGAATCACATTCTTAGTGCGTATCTTTCAAAGGATACTTACCCCTCCATGTTTCAATCTTGTGCTCCTCCAATTCATAGATTTGTACCTGCAAAGAAAAAACAGGTTTAAAGCTCAAATCTTTAGCATATAATTTTAAAATGGCCAGTGAACTAAAGGCTATCTACCTTCAAGTAATTAGGACTGAGGCACATGGTTAATATGCTGAGATTAACTATAGCAATATGGGGGACTTTAAAATGCAATGAAAGGCTGACAAATTGGAAACTAAACCAAAATCCTGAACAAATACTTAGATTTTCTGCATACACAGCCACTGGAACTGACAATTACATTCTAATTTGAATCATTTTCTTATGCTCTGTTGCAAGCACATTACAGCAAACAGGAATTAAGGCTGGTGGGAAAATACTAATTGCTAACACCAGCACTGGGATGAACAAGTTTCTCATCTGCATGTTTTGAAAATGAAATTTTATTTTCCTACACTGATAAAACTAATCAGAGCACTTGGCTGAAAAGTGGTTGAAATAACCAGGTATAGAATGCATTGCTAACAAAATATATTCATTCCGCTGTCAAGAAAATAATGAAAAAATCTTGATGAAGCAGAAAAGTTGGATATCTTCCATTTTCTTGTGTAGATTAAGATTACATCATAACTTGAGTGTCAGCAGCAGCCCCTTATCCCTGTCACTAGCTGTGTACAGTTATGGGTAGCTACATGCATTCTTTACAAGACACTTACTTTAAAAGTAAGTTTGAAAATGCCACTTTTGATTTGTCATATTAGATTAGGCAATCAGGAGCATTCCACAGGCTCGGAAACTTCCATCCTTCCCTGGTTAGTGTTCCCCATACTGCAGCATTACATCTGTGTTAAACTAAGCCGTTTTCCATGTCAGGTAGAAACCCTAATTTCAAAGCTAACTACAGTTAATGCTAGTGCAGACAAAATGCTGCAACATAGTTAACACTAATAAGGGAAGGGAAGGAGATTGCAACACATGCCCAGTAGTGTCGTGTGTGCTTGTCCAAGATGTGCAAATGAATCTTCAAAGTTATACTGGCATATCATTGTAGACTCTTATACACTTGTGTGTGGTAAAGGCCCTCTCTGCACACTCATTTTGCACTAATATACATATTCAGATCCACTGTATCATCCCTACCCTGGCATAAAATTGCTACCAGACCCCAAGATAACAGGAGGAGCAAAAGAACTGGAGATTCCAGAATGTTACACTTTTGAGTTCAGCATCTTTCCCTGCAGTTCCCAAATAACATTAGCAGAGGTGGGCGGGTGAATTACAACTTTGCCATCTCCTGACACTATGGCACCATGCTTCAATAATTCAGAAGTTCGGGTTAAAAGAGCTCTTGAATGTTGAATTTTAGACTGGGCTCTAAAGAATGCAAGCCACAAGAGTTAAGAAGCATATTTCATTTTCTCTGCCTAAGAAATCTTCTTTAAAGGGAATGAATCTTTGCAGCACCCTTTAAAAACCAAGTACCAATTTTGGTATATAGAGTTTGACTTGTTGACATTACTGCAACAGTAATGATTTGAGTAATGGCAGGAATGTTTGTAGCAATGGAAAGAACTTGAACTTTGTACAGAAATCCCTTGGCATGGGTGCTTGGCACTCTAATGCAAAATAGAAACTCTACTTACAATACTCCAACTTTCCTCATGATGGAGTAAAAAAAACTCTGAATCCATACACATCAGCAAATATGGAAAACACTTATAAGCTATTGGAACGCATGCAACTCTTACAGCAGTGGTACAGCTGGATTTTATTGCCTTACAAAAACGAACACTCCCTTATTTGATGCTGAAAATGCTGCAGTGCTAATTTAAAATTCCTGGCTCCTCTACAGACCATGGTTTGCAAATCAGGAGTCATGCTCATTAATGGTGCTCCCTTTCCTTCACTCTCCAGATGTTACTCCTTTTCTCTTCTTCTTGAAACTCACTTCAACAATGCAAACTATGCATCCTTTGTAAAATGGAAGCTGTATTCATATTTGAGCTGGGATCATCAATGAACGTGGTTTGTGCTTGCGAATATGTAGCATGAAAAACGAGGAAGGGAAGGGGACAATAACTCTGGAGAGGAAGTAACTATGGTTTCTAGGAAGTTAAAGTTACAAAATGCACCCATCAAATGATTGTGAAATTGAAATTATGGTTTTCAAAGTGCAAAAAGATATAATACTAAGCTTACACTTAAAATTCACAAAGTTGCATTTCATCTCTCATTACATCTATCCACTGTGTCAAACATAATGGCCTATTCAAGGTTTGGTGGATTAGAAACATGCTACAGGCTCATATGTTTCCTCTTTGTGGATTCCCTCCTCCATTTTCTGGTTGCTTCTATTCAATTATTTACCCAATTCAGATTACAGAAAACCAGAAATGGAGGAGAGTAAGCAAAAAGGGCAAATGTATGCCTGCAGTGTATGCCTGATCCTCCAAACCATTATATGAAGGATTGTTTGAACTGCGCCAAATTAATTATATTTACATCATGATTAATTCCATTCACTATTTAGTGAATTTATGGTTTCAGTAACTGACAGAGCAAGACTATTCATTTTCAGTGAGTTAAATGTCTGACAGCCATTTATGCAGAAATAAAGAACATTTGCTTCTCCTGCTGCAACAAATTAAAAACAAACAAACCTACAATTAATAGGTACTTTACAGAGTAGCCTTTTCAACTATTCAAATATAATAAATTCTTTATTGCTGCTATTCCTTTTAGAACAATGGCAAACTTCAATGTCAAATACAGTGGTGCCTCGCAAGACGAAATTAATCCGTTCCGCAAGAGTCTTCGTCTAGCGGTTTTTTCGTCTTGCGAAGCAAGCCCATTGACGGATTAGCGCTATTAGCGCTATCAGCTGTTTAGCGGCTATTAAAGGCTTAAAGGCGGAGGGGATGAGCTGCTAAAAGGCTCTTAAAGGCTCTTGCAGGCTTAGCAGATTAGATAAAGGGGGAATGCGAAAAAATTATCTCAAGACTCGCAAGGTATTTTCGTCTTGCGAAGCAAGCCCATAGGGGAATTCGTCCTGCGAAGCAACTTCAAAACGGAAAACCCTTTCGTCTAGCGGTTTTTCCGTCTTGCGAGGCATTCGTCTTGCGGGGCACCACTGTAACTTGTTGACTTTGTTTAGCAACTGAAGGATTACTAACAACAAACATTCCCTCAGCCAGAAATATCCAATTTAGGGCCTTCCAGTGAGTGTGAACCAAAACTCCCAACATCCCAGACTACTGCAGATGCTGGCTGGGGCTGATGCAGTCCACAAAATCTGGATGGTACCATGTTTACTCCATGTGTTCTAGACATACTAAGCCAAAATGGGGAAAATGTGATTGAAGCAATGCTACAAGCAAAAAACCAGCATTGTCGAAGAGCTACAGGCAACTGTTACCTAAATTCAATAAATCACTATGATGCTTTTGGTCACAGTAGAACAGCTACATCAGCGCAACAGAAATGTATAGGTCAGCACTATCCTGGTGATAAGTCACCATTTGACCAGCATAGTTTTTTACTAAGGTGGTAAATTTATTTTGGGCTATAGCACTGAGATTGCTTGGGGGCGCTCCATCCATAAACTTCATCCACATAGCAAAATAGAACTCTTCTCTCCAACATCTAGATTTCTAAATGTGTATGGAGGAATATTCAGCAGAGGGAGCCTCCAAACTGCAGTCTAAAGTAGTACAGCCTTATCACCTTTGCAGGAGAAGGGCCATAGATTAGTTGTGGACAGCTGTTTTGTGGCACAGAAACAGTGAAGAAAGCTAAAGACCAAAGCAAGGACTGGGGACAATTAACATATGCAACATCTTAGGAATCAGTCGAAATCTAAGCACCTGACAAGTAATAGGTATCTGTTATAAATAGAGCCCTGCAGCCAAAGATTTAGCAGGTTCAATTCAATGGGAAATCCAGCTCCAGTTCCTTTTCAGGCTCCTTGCCAAACCCTAGAGTTTCCAAAGCTCTGTTTCATACTCATTCCCATTGTGTCCAAATCTGATAAGATTTGCCTGACCTTAGGCTGGGTGAGAATTTCCCAAAACTCCACTTTCTCCGTGGTACAGGATTGTTAATTAACAGGGTTTTCCCTAGCCAAGCCAGTATTGGGAGAGCTGGATACATAGACAACTGTGTGTCATGGCTGACAGGAATCATAAAAGGAAGCATTTGACCCACTGTGTCTGTGCACCATTCCAGCGATATATATCTTTAGGATCAGGCTGTATACTCCCAGGTGAAAGAAATCTAAATTTTTCTTTAAACATTTTCACTGTCTCTGTTCCAACAAAATGCATCAGGTACACAGGGAAAGACAAGTAGCAGATCAGACTTAACTACCAAATGGTCAGCTGTTTCCTCTCCTTGCACAACTTGATTATTTCCTGAAAAAAACTAACAAAGGAAGTTCTTCTCCTTAAAAGTGCACCAAAAGGGTTTCCCGCCCCTATAACTGAATTTATATGGTTCCAACAATATGCTCTGTGATTGACTGAAGGGAGAACTGGAACTTACTGGCATTAAAGCACATAGGAAAGTACATTTCAACCTTGTATGCAAGGCAGAAGAGTTTCAAATTGGAACAGTTGGCATGTTCAGATAAAGCTGCTATGCTGAAACAAACAACAGGAACTAACAGGCTGGATACCAATCACAATTGCTATGTAGCAGATATATCCTGGATCCCAGCAGCATGCCTGTACAACTACATGCAGTTCCCACTTGCCAAACACAATGTGTACCCAGGAAATTATTCATTAGGCAAGGGTTTGCATAACAAACTGGTGATTTCCATTATTTCCTATGTGAACATTTCTAACCTGTGATCTCTCTCCCCTCTCCCACCACGTTTCTTCATAAAAGGGCTGCAGCCAATCAGGCAAAAAGAGACAAAGAC